CTCTCTCTCTCTCTCTCTCTCTCTCTCTCTCTCTCTCTCTCTCTCTCTCTCTCTCTCTCAGGTCCAAGCATATCCGCACACTCTCAGGTCCAAGCATATCTGCACACTCTCAGGTCCAAGCATATCTGAACACTCTCTCTCAGGTCCAAGCATATCTGCACACACACTCTCTCTCTCAGGTCCAAGCATATCCACTCTCTCTCTCTCTCAGGTCCAAGCATATATGCACACTCTCAGGTCCAAGAATATCCACACACTCTCTCAGGTCCAAGCATATCCACACACTCTCAGGTCCAAGCATATCTGCACACTCATCTCAAGTTTCATTTCACTTTGCGTACACAACTCCCATCTAAATTAAGCAAGTCCATTTCTTTGAAAGTAAGCCAAAATTAAATATCTGTCTTCTCAGTGGTAGTCATCTAACTTTGCTCCCTAAAACACATGCTGGCCATAACAGCCATCTAATTGCTTTGGTTAGTGACCAGCAAAGCCCAAAAATGATCTAAACTACTCTCTGGCAACTTTAAACATTAGATTCTTCCACAATTCCAATCTGAAAATATGAAGCCTCATTTAAGGTACCAAAATAATTCTCAAACACAGTATTTCTTAATGAAGCCTTAAAAGTAAACATAACTTCACAGGAGTAACTGAAATTTACCTTTAACTGCCACTGTCAGAAGTGTAAGTCACTAAGTACAAAGGTCTACTATTTAAAAAAAAAAAGAAAGACAAAAACTTCTAGCAAGCAATTCTATACAGCAATTCTCTACCTTCATCGAGAAATCCTCAACATTTAATTACATACATCACATGAGCAAAACTATGGTGGTTTTGTTTTGTGTGGTGTGTGTGTGTGTGTGTGTGTGTGTGCGCGTGTGTGTGTGCACGTGTGCACGTGTGCACGTGCTCATGTGGGTACATGTAAGTATGTATGTAAGAGGCCAACAGCCAACTTTAGGTATTGTTCCTCAGTATCACCTTGAGTTATTTGGGATTTTAGACTGCTGATGAGGCTTGGCTGGCCAGCAAGGAACCTGTCTCCATCTCCCCAATGTTGGTATTACAAGTCAAGCCTACACCACCATGCCTGACTGTCTCGTGCATACATGGAACCATCTTCCTAGCCCCAAACTGTGTATTTTTATTTAACAATACAAGTCAAGAATACACTCTTCAGTTTCTCTTGATCTATCTTCCTTCATTCTATTTGCATAAAGAATTAAATATTAGCATTGTATTACCAGAGCTTGACCAGTGTTCTCTGGACAGACATGCCCTAACTTGTGCTTTATAAATCCTACAAATAGTTCCCAGTGTACATTATCACACGCTGTCGTTCAAAGTCTCTCTCTTATGTAGCTCTGGCCATCCTAGAACTTGCTATGCAGAGCAGGCTGGCCTCAAACGGACATACAGGCATGCCACTATCTCTTAACTTTTCCTTAAAACTGTTTGATGACAAGCTCTCAGTTAATAAAATGAAAAGTCAGGCTGAGGTCACAGGCCACTGATGGTACTTTTAAAGAATAAGAACTATAAACTTTATCTGCTAATGTGTTTACTTCTGTTTTTCTTGTGGAGAATGCAGGAAAAGAACATTAAATGGTTTTAAACTTAATTTTTTAAAAAAACGCTCCAAGTGATTATCATTTTGGTGGATTTTAAAAATTATTTTATCTTTAGCACCATAACAAAAAAAATACCATGTTTCTTATTCAAATCCATTATCAAACAAACAAAAGCTACATTACTTACATACCATAAAATTCTGCTGTAAGGGAGACCAAGAATACATTATGGGCACCGATGCAACTGCATTCAGGGTCTTTAATGGGATGACTTGTGCTGGAAAATCCAAGTCACTGGTCACTGAACACTAAAATAGAACATAAATAAAATTTCTTCTTAAAAATAAAAAGATCAACCTTAAACTATGGTCACCATACTGTGAACAGATGCTGAATTCTTAAGTAACTTGAAATAGAATTTTTACCTAAGATGGAAAGGTTCATAAAATCCAAAAAGAATCCTCTTTTCTCTAAGGATGAAAAAAAAACTTCTCCAGATTTTGCAAGTTTTAAATCCCTCCAGCCTTTCTCATACTTACCATGAACAGTTAGAATCAGAAACAACATTCCTGTTAGCCTCAGAAATCTGATCTGCTGCTGTAAGATTTCTCTAAAACCGTGAGCTTATATTAAATTCTGACTACTCAACCATATAGAATAGAATGTACTACATATACACACCAACTATGTACTTAAATCTTAAGATTAAGAATGTTATCTTTTTGTTTTTTAGGACAGGTTCTTGTTATTGAACTCAATCTGTAGACCAGGCAAGCTGGCCTGGAACTCATAAAGATCCACCTGCCTTTGCCTCCAGAATACTGGGATTAACGTATGTGCAACTAGACCCAGACACATTAACCTTTTCTTTTTGATTTGCATATTATATCTTTTTTGTGTTTGTTTGTGTCCTCAAATTCAGTCCTTCCTCAGCCTACAAGGTGCTAAGGATGCTATCATTGGCAGACATCACGATGTGTGTCTAACCTTTCTCATCTTCATCTTCCTTTTTTAAAAATGTCATACTTTATATTATCAAATACTGCATTAAGAGTAACAGATTTGAATTTCAATTGCAAAAATTATATTCTAATCAATTCTATAATCTCTAAGTGTTCATATGTAAGGCACAACATAAAACACAATAAGTGTCTCACCATAGTTCTTATTACAACATTCTAAGACCCGCTTTGCAGTGAGAAAACTAAGGTAAAGGAAGGACAAGTAGTTTGCCCAAGATCATACCTAGAGCTGTAACGTCAGCACAAGTCTGATTGTCCTAACACTGCTCTGACCCACTACACAGAGTCACCATACTTCACCTGTAGAGTGCTTACACCTTCCAGTCCACTGAAACGCCATTTTCTATCATCTATGGTGATAGTGATTTCATGGTAGATTTCTGAAGCAGCGTAAAGAGACAGAGGGCAGAAAGAGACAGGATCTGACCCCAGAAGATAGAACTGTTTATTAGTGTACACGGTGAGGGACAGCTTCGAGAGGAAGAAACTGAGGGGTTTGCCAGGGGCAAAGCCAGCTATGACCCTTTACAGGTGTGGGGTGAGGGCTTGAGTGAGGAAATGGCTGTAGCCAGTCTCTCCTTCCTGAAACTGTTTGTCCAAGGCAAGACAGACGATCCAACTGTAATCTATCATAGGAATCCTGTTACAGAACTGAGGCACCTATCAGATTTCATAGCACACTATTTCTCCTGTATTACACAGGAAAAAAACTGCCAATCAAACTGTCATGTAATGCCTTCTTATCACAGTGACTTCAATAAATATGCTGGTTTAAAACTGTAAAAATTTTGCAACTTTGATGTTGTAAGTCTGTGCTCTGATAACCACATTACTTTCTTTTCTGGTGAGGAGCACAGCTTTTCTTAGAGTTCTGTTCTCAAATGGCCATCTCAAAAATACCCTATATGTGTATTGATGATCTATAATAATAAAAATAGAAGATAATAAAAGGAACCCATATCAGTCACATGTGTACACGCATATACAGTCAGTGTCTGAGTTTTCTATAGCGTGTTTCCAAGTCAGCAAGACTAGGCCTGGATGAGGAGAGGGCAGTGGCAGACAGGCCACCCGAGCCCCACGGCTGCTGGGGTCCTCTGACCACCAGAGTGCTCCCTGCCAAAGAGGACGTCTGTGAATGAGGTATGAATGGCTTGTTAATGTGCTCTTCCTGCTAACTGGCCTCATACACAGAGCCTCATCCCTCCATTCACTAATTAAAAAACATCAGGTACTAATATTTATTGAGCACATACCATGTTTCAGTCACTGTGCTAAGTAACTGCTTACACATACGATCATAAAAAGTTTTCCTTATGACTTTACGATATAATTTTGGCATCTCAATCCACAAATGAGACCAGGGGTCAGAAGTTAAATCTTCCTAGTCAGAAAGTAAATTTAGAAGTCAGGATACAAAGAACTTCTTTAAAGTTCTTATGTTAGAAGCTCACGGGGAAAATTCATGACAGCAGGCAGCGGGATCAGCTGCACAGAGCAGACGCCCAACAAAGTCCGAGCAGCATCTCTCCACCCTCTCTCCTCTTCCGCTACTCCTCACACAGCTTCCTGTGTTCACCCTGATTAATTAGGGAAATGCAGGCATGGAGGGGGTTATAATTACTTGATAAAGCATCACATACTATCCAGTGGTCCTAAATATAAAACTGTTTGTATTGACTTTTGTTTTATATTTGGTGGTGATAACCTAATTCTGAGGCTTTAATTATACACAGAAGCTCCCTTTAAAGCTTAAAGAGACAGGTTAGCTCTCCAGCTCTGACTTACCTGTTTCAGCACGTGACTCAAGATTACACGTAAAGTTCGACAGTTAAATATCCTTTTCAACCACTAGATGGGGGATGATGGCTTTGCAGAAAACTCTCTGGACATACTAAATGAAAGCTGGGGTGACCATAAACAGAACTCACAGAACCACAGAAAACAGAAAGGCATGGGCTACAGCACAAAGTATCACACCTCCAGTCCCATATCCCTGTCAGGTACCCATTCCAGGACCCATCACTTCAATTCTGAGTCATCCAAAGTCCTCAGGGATGAAACATAAGCTCTGTAAGGGGAAAAGCACCTGAGGGAAAGGTACAGTTTTCCCTCTCTGCCTCAAAATAATACTCAGTGCGGTATCTCAAAACAAGTTTACAGAATCAACAGACTGCGTCTGCTGATTCTCTGTAACAGAAAGTTCAGCTAGAGTCCCAGAACGCCTATGTGGAACACCGACCTGAGCTCTGCACACCTCTGGATCCTACCCACCCTTAGCCACTAACTTGCTATAACCGTGGTTATACTTCTTCCTCATGAATGATACTGAAATGCCACAGCATGTGCAAGTAAAACAAGTAAGGAAATGTTTATGTGTTGACTTACAGGAACATCACACAAAACTGCCAGTTACTTTCTTTGAACGTGTTTCACCCTCGAGACTTGAAATACTCATATCGCTCAGAGCAGGCCAAAAACTGTTGCAAGTCTCCATAGAATTCTTACCTGTTCAGTTGCGCTCTAGGAGGCCGACTTAAGCAATTTAAATTTCTAATTCTAGTTCCAATTTCAGGATCACACAAGACATGCATACAGATGATTCATCAACAATGGTAAAGAAAGAAAACTAGTTATGAAGGATGCCACATTTTCAGAGAAACACAGCTTACTGCTAAGTAACAAGGTTCCTCTGAGGTTGGAGACCTACATCAGCCAGCTGGTACAATAGGTGACTGTGTGGCTGGAGAGGGAAGTCAAGCCAAAAATAGTAGTTGTAGGAGTACACAACCAAACTGAGACTCTTGGCAGAAGGCTGGTTCCAAGTAAAAACTGTGTTATGGAAAATCATAGAGGGGGAGCAGGTGAATGGCCTGCAGGGACAGGAAAGAAATTAACACACCCTACTGTGTGCCAAGCACTGTGGTAGAGGCATTACCAAAGTTGACTTTAAAATTCATCACTACCCTGTTTTAGGCAGGACATCCCAAAGGACAACAACTACAGCCATCCCACCTCTGAGTGCTCCTTAGCCTGAGGCCGGTTAAGCCCAGCTTCAAAAATGTACGAGGGAGTTCTACCACCAGCTACCAAGTGTGTAATCATACATTCTTGGATACTCGATAGTTCATTTCTTGTTAGTTCACACCGAGACACAATGAACTGTCAATATTTTCAAACATACTTCTAGTTCTCCAGGTGAGAACAAAGAAGGTACAGGAAAGCCATCTCCCCAGAAGAGAATGTGAGCTACTATCAACTCTAGGAAGGCCATCAGCCCAGAAGAGAGCAAGGAGCAGACATCAACTGGAGATTATTTCTGAAACTACCTTCATTTTTCTTCAGGACTTAAGGAAAGAAAGGGAGCAAACCCAAGTTTTTGTGATGTGTTTGTTGTTGTTTGTTTGTTTGTTTGTTTGAGATAAGATCTCACTGTGGCCCTAACTGGCCTAGCACTTGCTTTGTAGACCAGGCTAGCCTTGAACTCAGAGATCTTCCTGCCTCTGGCCCTTGAGTGCTGGGATTAAAGCCATACAGCACCACATCTGGCAAACGCCAGTTTTTAATTAGCTAGGCGTTCTGGCAAGGACAGTATACATGATTTAAATTCAAGAGTACTTTGAGATGAAACAGGAAGGAAGAAAACCAGAATGAGTCAGTAACATGCGTTAAGGAAGCTCTAGAGCACGCAGAGTTTCATGGGCAGTTTTAAGGACAAAGGAGGATGAGAAATGGAGGAGACAATTTTAAGAAAAACAAGGGTCCCTGACAGAAGAAGGTCAGAAATAAAAAGAATGGTCCTAACATCTTCATGCAAGTATTTAAGCTAAGAAATAAATTCCAGAGTGTAAATTGCTTCCATTTTTGATGTTACACATTTATGTCAAGAGCCATTACAGACTGGAGACTCTCGAGTAACAAAAGGCTATTTACCTCGAATTTCACTTTCATCTTATGTCACTTCTTACACTTATTCCTAGTAGGAACATACACAGTATTTCAGGGTGTATGGGGCGGGTTGTTGTTTTGAGACAGGGTTTTTGTATAGTCCTGGCTGGCATGGAATTCTCTATGAGACCAGGCTGATTTTAGCCTTATAGTAATCCTCCTGCCTCTGCTTCCTGAGTGATAAGATTATATGTAGCCTTTCAGGAGGATTAGTGTGATGGCTATTCTTGGTTGTCAACTTGACTACATCTGGAATTAACTAAAATCCAAATGGCCGGGCATACCTATGAGGGATTTTTTCTATATTAAATTATTTGAAGTGGGAAGACCCACTTCTA